TCTCTCTACCTCTATCCGCCTCCTCCTCTCTCTCGCCTTCTCTCTCTCTCTTGCGCTCCTCCTCTAACTGTATCACTACCCTCCTCTATCTCTCTCTCCTCTCATCTCCCCTCTCAATAACAATAATAATAATAATGACTCTCTCTCTCTCTTACACTCGCTTTCTCCCTCTACCCCTCTCTCTTTCTCGCTCTCTCTGTCTCTCTCCCCTCTCTCTCACTCTCTCTCTCTCTCTCTCTCTACCTCTATCTCCCCCTCTCTCTCTCTTTCTCTCTCCCCCCCTTTCTCTCTTTCGCTCTCTCTCCCCCTCTCTCTCACTCTCTCACGCGCGCGCTATCTCTCTCTACCTCTATCCCCCCTCTCTCTCTCACACATTTTCTCACGCACGCGCGCTCTCTCTCTACCTCTATCCCCCCCCTCTCTCTCTCATGCGCGCGCGCTCTCTCTCTACCTCTATCCGCCTCCTCCTCTCTCTGAGTCTCGCCTTCTCTCTCTCTCTTGCGCTCCTCCTCTAACTGTATCACCACCCTCCTCTATCTCTCTCTTCTCTCATCTCCCCTCTCAATAACTATAATAATAATAATGACAATAATAATAATAAATAATAATCGTATAAATGAATACTATCGCGTATCAGAAAAGGAGAAGCTATGTTTGTGTGTATCGCGAAACAGAGCCGTATATAGATAATATCTGTCGCGAAAATAACCCGCTTATATTGTATACAGCATAGATATTTGATTATCTAATCATTACACAAATCGTACTCTTGCTCTTATATCTGGCAGAACTTGTTTGCCAGAACCTGAGCAAATAACTCACGTGTGCGATTCACTCGCTTACGTCACGGTCTCGTCAAATTGCGCCGAACACTCGCCGTAAATCGCGCTTTATTTTACCTCGGCTTTGTTTTGAAAACTCGTGTAATTGCTCGCGGACTTGATAAAATTTTTAATTTTGACCTCAAAATCGATATAAATTCATTTTTTTGGAAATAAATCTTTTTATATTAGTTTGTTTTGTTAATAGATGTGTTTGTTATTCTATTGCGGTCATTTTGATACCTCATTTGTTTAATTTGATCGAAAAATAACGATTTTATGGGTTTTTTCACATTTTGGGTAAATTTCACTATGGCGGCCATCTTGATGACGTCATAACCGGAGGTTTGTGGGGGGGTGCACGGTGGACCCTCCTAGCTCCCGGCCTATATGTAAAGGGAGATAATGCTGATTTAAAACCTGTTGCCGTGCTAGCGTGGACTGTGGTTCCATATGTGCCCATGCGTTTTTGCAAATGTGACATGCAAACAGCGTTCGAAATCAGTGCCGACCCGGAGGCCCGAGGCCACCAAGTTTTTGCTTCGGCCACCACCTCTACGAAACTGCCGGTCATCCTGACCCGCACTTTTCCCCCCTCATGCACGCTGAAATACTACGGTTATCGCAATGGCAGTTTAGACAGACTTGTAAATGGGAGCTCATTCTAGTACGCTCCGTTCCTGAACTTAGACGGGGTATCCAAAACATCCTCCAATCATGATTCGCCACACGAACAAAACCTCGTGACAGTCTAAGAAATCGATTGCATCATGTAGCGTAGCCCAGTGTTTTTATGACCGCATAACAATAAGTTTATATGTCGCAGGGGTTATCGTGGGGAGTGAGGGCACGACCAGTGACACCTGACATGCACGTAATCAAAGCTGTTAATTGAATTCGTCACTGCAATGTAAACTGTATATATACTTCAAGATTCTAGACACTTGACACTTTGCGGATGTGCAGGAGCATTGATCTATGCATGGTGGTACCCAGGACTGGGGAGGAGAAAAACGAAAGTAAAACCTTTCCCAGAAGCTCCCCTGACATTCCTAGAGCTTGAAATATAATATTTGACCAACTCTATGTTACATGTATGCTGTTAATGCCAATGGTTATTTTTATATACCATTTTGTTACTCACTGCTAGTAAATAAGCGGACAACCAACTTTTGTGCAGGACCACTGACTTTCTGAAGTTGGTGGTCCTGCTGTCCACTAGATTTTCAGCCAAAATTCGAACCCTGCATGCAAATGTGACTTTGTGTCCAATGTGACAAGTTTGTAGGGCCTAAAGTCATGTACCGTTGTACATCATGGTAGAAATACCGATGGAAAATTGGGCTACCACTTTTTATTTTGGGCCAGAAGAAATAAATTTCTGGTGGCCCAAACAAAAAATTGTCAAGCACTGCTAATGTTACACTACTTTCACGTTATAGGCACTAACCTTACACTGTATTTTCTGCTGCCAAGCTATATTCCCATGCCTGTTAACATTTTACAATCTCCGTGCATTTTGTTTATTTGCAGTCTTATTTTGCTGAATATATTTGTTCAAAATTGCGTTTTGGTTCGTTTTTCGCAATCATGAGAAGTCGACGAGCGTCGAGCGTATTGTGAAGTGAGGTCTAAACTGTGTCAATAGTGCTTATATTGTGTAAGTTGACAGGTGTGTAGGCGCTTTACACTTACTCTTTGTTCAGGGTGTACCCTCACTGTCAATATTTATATGACCATATTGTTCTCTTTCAGATTATCAAGGATGGAGGACGTAATGCAGATCTGACAGAACTAGCCAAACTTTTCCAACTTCACGAGTCGGAATAATAAATTCGCTTAGCTATTGGTACCTATGAAGTTAATTTAAATAGGAAAATCACGGTTGAATTCTCGTGAGTGAATTTTCTAGGTAACGTTGCGTGTGAGGGTTGGCAGCTGCAGATGCTGACATAGCGTGTGGTCACAATAGATTACTGTACCTACCTCCCTGTCTGTTAGTCCTTATCGTGTGACTTACCCACTATCAGGTATTCCAATTTCTGAGCCATAAGGTGACGCTGTGAAGGTGTTTAATCGGAATACAAATTGCGTTTACCACATATGTCGCAACTTTAGGCTACCCTCGTGTTGTGAGTGCATGTGTACCAGGGTGGATGGGGATATAATGGGATTTCCAAGATAAAGTGCAGGACGTACGTGCAGTCTTTAACAGGTGTTTGCTATGACCCTGTAGATTAGTTCCTGGTTGCCTAGATTCCCTACTTACAAACCTTTTTATACTAACAATGTCGACATAGAAGCATTAGCTCAGAGAGATCTGTGTTGGATTTTTTATAACTGCAGGCAGTATTGTAGATAATGCCAGCTATGGTAGGTAATGTGTGTTTCGAACATTGCTTAAACAATGGGTGATGAGGGATATTATTAGGCGTTAATAATGACAAATTTGTCATTATTAACGCTTGATAATACTGAATTCTAGTTGATTTATGTTCACATGGTGCAGCGAAGTTTATATGAATTGTGTTGACTTCATAGATATGAAGATGATATTTTTCCGAGTGACACGCGGGGGCTCTGCTTGGTAGTGTTGTTGTTGCATGCTTGCGTTAAGACCGTCGGAATTAATGATTGCTAGTTTACATCAAATGCAGTGGTCACACTCGCAACAACGTTGGTTTGCATTGCGATGAAACGGAAATTAATTTATGTTTCTGATTATGCTAACATCCTAACGCGTATACTGAAGAGAAGTTGAAGTTAATCTCATGTTGCATGCATCATGTTGGGTAATTGTATCTGTTGTATTCATGCAGATACTCGCACGTTTGTGTGCCACTCACCAGATGGCGCCACCATGCAGAGCAGACGTAAATTAAACCACTGGTTCAGAATCTGGTAAAACCAGATTTAACGATTACTGATGTCAGAGGTCATATCTTTGATGGCACAGAACATTTGTTATATGATGTAGTTTATATTCAGAGTTAATATTTGAGTAAATATTAATACAAAACCATCTTGTGTCATGAGTTCATATATTTCATTTCTAGTCGTAATGAATTTCAATTGTTGGAAGAAACGTACTGGACTATTTATTATGCGAACGGCACTCTAAGGTGCTCTGCCTCTATGTCAATCACTTGCACGCTTACCGAATTGTGCACATACAATTGATAATATCATAGCAGATACTACAAGCAGATAATACTCACTACAACTTGAAGGCAAAAAGAGTTTTGCTCGTGACAACACATTGGTTCTAGAATCATCTTGGTGAATTTGATGATTATATTATGATGAAACTATAAAAGCAACTCGTTGTTGCTAGTCAACCTTAGGGTAAGCTGTTCCAACGTTATCAGAATCAGTCGCCAGTGTCCACGTTTGTATCTCTGTTTCAATTCCATTGAGATCAAAACGGCATATCTGGTCGATTCTAGCCATGAAACATACGGTGTACATTGCCATTTCAAACTCTGGGCTTGTACCGATCCAAAGTCCAGTATACTTTTTTAGATATCCGTTGAATGTAAATTTCATGGCCATCAGTTGTGGCTAGAAAATAAATGTTCATACATGCGTTTTACGTTCATTATAAAATAATTATAACTATATAAATAAACAAATATTGCTTAGTTGGCAATATGGAGATATCAGTGACATATGTAACATCACATCAGTCGTGGGCCAGGAAAACATTTGTCATTGCAAAGATATTACCTAAATATTTTTAGTATCTATTTAATAACTGAATATTTTACCCGCATATAATGTAAATTATTGTCATCGTTTTTATTTCGCGATCGTTTGTAATCGAATGTCAGTGACCATATATCTATGACTTGTATGAGGTGATGCCGTGTGAGAAAACTACTTTTGATAAAGCAGTCAGTTGTTAAAACATACAATAATAATGATAAATTAATTTAATATGATAATAAGGTACGTACATCTGTTATTGCTACCCAGCCAAAGTAATTCACTTGTCCATTCTGCTCCTTTTGCATGAGAGAGAGCCAGTTGTGAAATCCACTCACTTCCTTGTCCGATTTGTCTATTTCACCTAAAAGGAAATGTGGATCGGATGCTCAAAAACGTTGTAGGAACGTGAGAGGATTCTTGCATGAGATTATTAAAGCTACAAATCATGATACGTGCATTGCGATCATGTACTTATGCCAAGTATTAAATTCAGGGCCGTAGCCTGACCAATTTCCTATGAACAGGTGTAGAATTTCGCGACCCAGCTGAGTAATGACGATGGAGGGTCGCAGCTGCCAGTTAGTGTGGAACGAGGGCTTCACGGATATCTACGTCATGATTTACTCTATCTATGCTAAACTTGTCACAATGTTATGGATAAACATCAGGAAGGGAACGGGGGAGAGTCCATTCCTAGAGTACAGGTAAAAAATGCAATTTTGCAGTTCCCTGTTGTTTTAAATTAACTTAAAATTTTTAATTAAAAAATCTTTCATATGCTGTTTCCCGGTTCCAAGATAAATAAAATGGTAGAATCCCGCGTCACATAAATACCCCCCCCCCGTCCTCACTTCATATAACAGGTCTGGAAACACCGTGTTGGAAACACCATTGGTGAACCTACCGACAAATGTGTGCGCGAATCCGCAAGAGTCTAAGGCTTCGTATGAAGTACTGCGGCTGTACAGCTCAAACCACATGTCCTTTAGCTTATTCTCCAAGTCGGTTGCCGACGTTACGTAGCCTGCCGGAACGCCAGATCCCATTATGTAAACAAGCATGGGCGTGGGAGTTGACCAAACGCAATATAAGAATCTGAGAGACGGCCATACACACGGCCAAGTACAGTCAAACTTGTGTTTTAAGAGAGAGAGAGATCGAGAGATAATGATATAGATAGAACTGATATAGAGATGGAAAATGTAATATTATGTTTCTGTCTTTATCTATGGTTAGACAGAGAGTGATGTTCCTGTGAACCGAAACGCCCGACTAACGCATACAACTACACTGCGCTCGTTGTTCCCTTCTACGTGCTCACGTTTTGCGATCAGGAACGAGAGCGTTTCCGTCATGACCCTCGTCTTCATGATTTCATCGAGGAATTCCAACTCTTCCTGTTCCTCCTCGGGTGTCTTCGTCTCGGGCCGTTCCAAGTAGGGATCGTAGTTATTCAGCAGCTTCATGAACCTCTGATAGGTTGGCGTATTGAGAAGGTCGGCGTCCACATACGTGAAGAAGCTGAGGAGAATTGCACGGGATTCAAACATTCAACTAATTAATGTTAATAATAACTAATTAAATAATTATGGTAAAACCAAGCATAACGTAGAGGAATGTTCCATTGTGAATTGGGTGAATAGGTGAAGTTCCATTGTGGATTGTTGGTTCAGGATGCGCTGCGTCCAATTTAATCACTGAGTGAGTTTCAGGGATTTTAAGTTAGATTACACTGGAAAATATTAGTGATTACACTGATTAAGTGTGACTGCATGTGATTTAAGTACTGAACTCCAGTGTCAATGTCAGTGACAATCGTGTGTGTGTGCGCGCGCGCGTGCGTGCGCCGTGTGTGCGTGCGTGTGCGCATGCGTGCGTGGGTGTGAGTGTGCGCGCGCGTGTGTGTATGTGCGTGTGCGTGTGCGTGTACTTGTGTGTGCGCGTGTGCGTATGCATGTGTGTGCACGAGTGTGCGTGCGTGAGCTGATGTGAAAACACTCACGGGTTGGGCGACTGGTCTGCGTTGGAGTTGCCAGAATAGTTGCCCACGTCCACCACTAGGTCTCCCGTACCATTTCTGTTGTCGTCGAAGCCCCACAGCTTAGTAGCGAACTCGCTCAGCTCAACCCGGCTAATCGAATCTCCTCTGAAGATCGGCGGAGCTCCAAAAACTTGGAGAGAGAATAAATGTACGTGACGTCATGTATAAATAACAGTATAACTAATTGATGCCGTTATAGTCCTGGCTCTGGGGGGGCGGGGGGGGGGGTGTTCGTGTACATGACTCTTTTAGAGCAAAACCTTATATATTTTCTACATTCCTTATGGTAAGACTCTCAAAAAAAGTTTGGTAACACTTCGGGTCAAGTACGTTTTTTCTGTACAGCTAATTATGCGATTATCGCGTTAGGCGCCAAAGTGAAAAAATTACAATATTGAAGTTTCAGAGCATAAATATTTATTAAGCAACCATAAACTTTCAAATTGCATTGAATTACACTGAATGAGTATTACTAATAACTTCTAGCATGATTTGTTGCCATAGAAACGTTGTTTCATAGTACGAAATGGCTACATTTTGTCTAATTTAAGCCAAAAATAGCCAAAAAATCGCGTTCACTTTGAAAGTAGCTCTAATATAAGTATGATTGGCTTCTCACTGCACCCAATATTGTAGCTAGAGCTACCAAAATTGACCAAAAGTTTCCTTATTAAGTGCTCTAATGTGACCCAACCTTCAAAACGATGCTTCCCCACTCTAATGATGCATGCAGGGGGGAGGGGGCTATTGTAACTCAGGGTCAACCCTACCCCCAAATAGCGCCTTTTACGAATTTCGTCAAATGATGATAACTCCGTAAGTAAATGACATAGGAAGTTGATTTTTGTGGCAACATATAGGTTTTTTTTGACACCAAGGAATTGATTGACAACATTATTATACATTTTGGAGTTCACACTACTTAGAAAGAAGTATAAGAATATCTGCCAAAGCGATAATTACGAGACGAATTGTCCCATAGAAAGATGATTGAAGGATATACATGCATCATAGAACTGTACAGGTGGACGAAAGAAACGACAGAAGGAGAACACCCATGCATATCATGAATGCGGAATCTGTTCATGGTCTTGGACGCGGAGGCAAAATTGTGACCACAACCCTAAACCATGAAGGACTTGCAATTAGCTACGCAGAGCTGCGTAGGTACCGCCATGATCTCGCATCTCTCACGGCACAGCACAACCAAAACC